GCCCCCCCTAGAGGGGACAACCCACCAAATAAACGGCATGGTTTTTTTTTTTTTTTTTTTGTAATTTCTCAGCCACTTACTGTTTTTTTTTTTCTTTCACTTTTTTTCTGTATTTCATTTTCTAAACATCTTGTCTTTGTCAGAATGGCTCCGTTTGATGGCTCTGCATGGGAGGAAGAAGATGACGAGGCTGTCCCTCCTCCTCCTCCTCCTTCTGCTGAGGTTCCTTACTATAATAACTTTCCTGATAAGCAGCCTCCCCCTGGTGGACTGATTGACATGAGGACCCGTCCAGGAGCAACACTGGTAAGAATGAGTGGATTAGAGAGGGAAGAAAATCTGCTTATGCCTAAATTCACCACTGGCCTGGTTACACTATGCTGGTTATTAACTTGTACTTTAGTGCATTTTCAAGTTGTAGTCTTGGAAGCTGTGGGAAATGTTACTGTAATCCAGAAGGAATAAATCTTCTTCATATAATTTTTGACCTTTGTGATTATTTTAGTAATACCTACATAATTTTGGTCTTCTGGTTGTTTTTTGTTTGCAGCCCTACGGGCAGCCAGGTCAGAGCGACATTCACAAACAGCCTGTGCCTCCTCTACCAGGTGAGCTGCATCTTTGCCTCTCTGTGCCTATTCTTTGGAAATTCAGAAAGAAAAAGTGTTTTTTTTTTTTTAACTGAAGACATATGTTTTAGCCCTTATAATAGGAAAATGCTGTCTTATTTTCTTTGTGTTCTTTTACTTAAAAGAAGAAAATGTCTTTGTACACCTTTTTATAATTTTTTTTTGTTTTTTTTTAGTGGGTGCCAAAGAAGGAGGTCGGGAGCTGTTTGACGACCCATCATACGTGAACGTGGAAAAACCCAGACCTCCTGTAGCAGCTAATGGAAATGCACACAGAGACGTTTTTGACATGAGTGAGTCTCTCTCAATAGCTTAGCTTAGTTTACAATGTAATTTCTTCACTTTCTGAGCTCAAATGCACGGTTGTGTGAAATGCAGAAATGCCACAATAAAGCAATTTGCTGTGAAATTAGGAAACACTGATATGAACTGTTGTAAATGGGATGTGTGGGTTGTAATCAAAACAGAAGAATAACTGGTAATTACTGTATGCAGAAAATAAAGGTTGTACATTAACAGTGGAAAAAAAAGCTGTTATTCCATCAGATTCAAACTAAAAACAGAAGCTTCTGCAAAGGGAAACAATGAGGAAATATATGGGACTAAATTGGCATTTTATAAAACATTATTGGCGAGCTTCACAGAGTTTTACACATTAAATTTGCGTTGTCTGCAGACTTATGATGCAGCTTGGAAGATATAGAAATGTATATTTTTAATGATTTGCGTGTGTTTGACTTGAGTATTTTTCTGTTGTACAAAATATGAGCAAGCATGAAAGATAATCAATTTTATTTCCAGAAATTAAATTAAAGCTTGTACCTGTCGATCCTTCAATCCACCAGACAGTATTCAAACTTGATCATTGGTCAGTCTGTCTGTCCACTCAAATGGTACTCTTAATTTCATTCTCCAGTGTGCCAGCACATTCAGGACAGAGAACCCTAATCAAGAAAACCATGTTGTGTTAATCTATTTATAGTTTAGAGGAGGAAGCAGTTTGCCTTGTTGAGGAAAGAAGGTAAAGTGCAGGAGTTGGACTGTAACAGCTGCAGCACAATGTACAACTGGATGCGTTACGCAGCTCTGCTCTGCTCCTATCAATGCATCCCAAAAGATTTGCATTTGATTCACCCTGCGGTTGCAACAAGCGACACAATGGAGCTTGAAAATGTTGAACAAAAGCTAAAAATGGGAAAAGTAACAATGCACCAAATGGTGCAATAAAAACAAAAGCAGCAAAAGCTCAATTTAAATATGTTGGGTTTAATTCAACCTTAGGCCTCTAATTAAAGTTGCATCTGGCGCGGACACAATGCCTACGAGCTCGGCCCAGGTCAGGTGGGACGCTTTATGGCCTGATGTAAACTCTAGTGCAGCTTTCTCCTCCAGATGCAAACCAGGAGGAAGTTCTTAGGTTGTGCGTTCAGACCACAGCAGATGAATCATTCAGAATTTAAGAGGAGGCGTTTAATTTCAATATTGTTCTTGGTTACACATTGGTCTGCCTATCCAACCATTAATTAATCAATTTTTCGATCATTCTCCTGTTTATCCATCTGGTTGATCCTCCATCCAGTTATACATAAATATCCATTTTTCCTTCTTCCATCTGTTCATTTCTCAGTTCATCCATTCTTTTGTTCATCTGTCCTTCAAGCTGTCCATCAGTTTGTCTGTCCAACAAACCATCAGACTGTTTATTCCATCTACCCATTTTTCTATCTTCCATTGCGTTTATATCTTGGATCATGTCCTCTAAACAAGGCTACAATGTTACAATCTGTTTTCATTTGTTATCTTCAAGAACCGCTCGATGACGCCTTGGGAGTGTCTGGACACGCTGGCCCAACGTCAGTGGTGGTTCCGCCGTCGCTGGTGCAACAGCTGCAGAACGAAATCTGGTTCCACGGTAGCCTGAGTCGAAAAGAGGCGGAGAGACTGTTGACCCGAGACGGAGACTTCCTTGTGCGGGAATCTGGAACCACTCCCGGGCAGTACGTCCTTACGGGCCAGCAGGGGGGTCAGCCCAAGCACCTGCTTCTTGTCGACCCAGAGGGAGTGGTAAGTTGTGGGCGGGAGTTGAAGAAGCATTACATTTTAGTTGGACGTAGTGGTGTTGATGGTAACACTTGATGCTTTTCCCCACCCCTCCATTAGGTACGCACAAAAGACCACCGGTTTGGAAGCGTCAGCCACCTAATCAGCTACCACATGGACAACAGGCTGCCCATTGTGTCAGCCGGGAGCGAAGTGTTTCTGCAGCAGCCAGTGGAGCGCAGGGCCTGAAGCCACACGCGCCAATGAAATACTCCACCAAAAATAGACTCTCACTCCATCTCCAAATCCACACAACACACTCCCAAAATCATATGCTTTAGTACACACGACACTACACACTCCCATGAAACGACACGAGTACAAGCCAAAATAATTAAAATATATCACCTGTTTCTCAGCAAAAACACAAAACAAAACAAAAAAAACAAACAAACAAACAAAAAACTTACTTTCTTATTGCTGTTGCCACATCTTCTGCCAGTCTGTGACCTGCAGTCTCCTAGAAACCCATTGGACTCACCCACCCACCACAGAGAGGCACTGCTGCATTTTCTGAACCAACTGTGAAGCAGGGAGGAGCCCTTCACCAACATCACAACAGGGCAGAAAACAGATGCAATGCTTTTTCTTATTTTTTATGCGTTTATGAGGAGAAAAACAGAACTGCTTACGAATACATGGAATTGTTTTCTAAAATGGTTGAACTGTGGAGGAACATGAACAGACTTGGATTGAGATGGTTGGTGTCTTTATTTAGGAGGGGAAATTTTTTTTCGGGTGGGTTGTTTTTTGGGGGGGGGGGGGGGGGGGGGGGGGTGCGGAGAGAAACCAGGCGGTTTCGGGGACTTGACCGAGTTCAGTTCACCCTTCAAGTCTCACCGGAGAAGTAAATGTGACAAGCCTGTATGCAAAAGCTACGCTAAAGACCATCATATCCTTCATTGTGTTTTTGTATATTTTGTTCTGTAATCATGAGTCAAATAACTTACTGGACATGTGGAGTGCAGGAAGATCAAAACAGCTGTATCCCCCCCAAACCTTTTAAACACACATGCAAATGTATATACACACCTTTACACGCCATGCACACGCTCATGTCATGCCAAAGATCATAAACTCGGTTGCTATTTGCAAAAAAGACACACAAAAAATAAAAAAGAGAAGCCATGACTATTAGCAGTTGTCTCTAGGCATGGGCCGGTGTTATATTCTCATAATGTAAAAATCTATAATACAATCAAACAATGTAAAAATCTGCTAAAAAAAAAAAAAGTGATGTGATGTAATTCCCTTTATTTGACACAGAATATCAACAGTTATTACTGCTTCTGCTGCTGCTAAAATTACACATGAAATTGGTTGTTACAGTTAAAATGATGTGAAAACATTTATTTTATTACTAAACTGTGATATTTTAAACTGAAGCTACATATTTAGTCAGGTAGATTGCACAGTCGGATGCTCTCCAAACATGCGATTGAATTTGTAAAGTGTTGCGCCATGTTTTATCACCAGCTGACCTGTAATGGGCAGCAACAAGTAAACAGTTAGTGGCATTTTGCTACTCTATTCTCGTCTCATCTGCAAACCATTCGGTTCCACACATGTTTAAAACCGTGGTACACACGAGTACTGGTTAACTGGCCCATGCCTAGTTGTTGCGTCATATTCATTTCTAAATGGGCTTGTTTTTTTTAGTGGAGAAATAATTTGAGGTGATTGTGCCTGAATCCTGCGTCAAAGAGGAGATTTTTAAAGTACACTGATGTCAGCCACAGAGAAAAGAAATGGTGCATTTTGAGAAGCAAGGACGTTGCTTTTCAATAGCACTTTAGTGTGTGTTTGCATTGACAATCTATGAGTTGTAGCTTCAGAGTAAAAGCAAAGGTGAGAAATGCTCAGCAGTCTTTAAGTAAGAGTGTTCTGCTTGCAAAAACTAATGCAGTGTATTCTGTCATTGTGTTGTTTAATAAGATGAAATCATCTTTTTAACAAAAAACAAAAAAATCAAAAACCTTTTATGAAACAAAGTGGCTCTACGTGACTATAGATCATTTTTTGAAGCGGTTTCGATCTTCAGTGTGCTATTTTCAAACATACAAGAATTTTTAAAAAAGGGGGGTGGAAGTTAATGCCGTTGTTTTCTTCTCCCCTCAGTTCATGACGTGTTTTATATCTTTTTGATTGTGCCTTGTTTCCTCAATGCAGTCATGTTTTTTTCAATGCAGTCACCTTATGTACTTAATTCAGACGTAATCAACTGCAGGAGAATCTCTCAGTTTAGCAAAAACTCTGGAAAAAGGAACACCCCGATGACGACAACATGCGGCTCCAGTGATGGCAATCTCCTCTGATGCACATTCCTGCATTCAGCTTCTAGTCACAGATACTTGATGTCACCGTTGGGGGAGGATATGTTTCTTGATCACCTGTAAATAACATCATTTTTCGAGTGATCAGCTTAAATATTGTTTCTATTGTGTATTTAATGACTTACTCAATGAGGAACGCAGACTGTACAGCATTAAGGTTGTTCATATTAGAATGTTAAGAGAGGTTGAAACCAAAAATGTCGAAATGTGAGAAGGGACCTTTTAAGTCACATGTGATCAAACGTGCTCACATACCCAGAGTGGCAACTGTTCAGATGGGTCAGAAATAGGAAAACCAGGAAGGAGCTCTGTCGTTACTTTGTGTGTGCATGTCGTGCTGGAATAGACTCAGCTGACCCTCCTGTCATTAGTGAACCGGTCCTGTGTTGTTGTTCATCACAGTTGCCTTTTGTTGCATGGAAATAAGTTTTAAAAAAAAAAGATGTTTTGTTGTTCGCAGTAGTAATAGTGTTGTTGATGCTGTTTATGATTTTAAGCCAAAGGTTCTTTTTGAATTGTGTGCAAAGATATTGATTTGTACTTTATATTTTCTTTTCATTCTGTTTTCCTTTATAGGGAAACATGTCTGTTTACACCTGTAACTGAAAATATAGATTGCATATATAAATATATATATATATGTATATATAAATACATACATCACACATCTTTGTGGGTTTTAGTTGCATTTTAGCTGATTTTGTTAATTTACTGGCCTAAATTGCATTTAACTGAAATCAAAACAAAGTATCCTGTAGTGTGAGCCGTGTTTAACTGTATTGACCAGAACTATCTACCAAAGCCTTGTCTAACTCTTTTGGTCTCTTCTTGGTAATCCGACAGACACAAAAGCTCAGAGATTTTTGTCTTTCAGGATTAATTGAGGGAGAATTATCAGGATTGTAATCAGTCCAATCAAAAACGTTGTTTATTCCCTAGTTCATTATGCAAGCGAAATAGTGAAGCATAGATGCTACACTAATTCTACTCTCCTATTACCAAGAAAGTAAAGTGTTATGATGAGGGGATTCACTAGTAAAATTACTGATTGAGATTTGGTATGAAGTATGAACTTAATGTACGAGAACAACCACAAATTAAAAAGGAAAAAGTGCCTTACTTTAGTAATATGAGGCACTTGTGGAAGTAGCTTGCATTTCTGCCTAAGTGGTTTGCCCACTTTCATCTCTGCTGCTGCTCTAGTTTGGTTTTCTGCTACAACGGCTCATTCTGAAAAGGTGGACCTTTGGATATCTGGACTTTTTTAATCTGGATTACTTCTGGAAATGATAATAAGCCTCACATACTGGAACGAGACAAAATTAGACAAATGTAGCATTTTGACAGTAACATTAAAAAAAAAAAAGTCCAGATCCCTGACTCTGTCAGGCAAAACCTTCTTGATGAGGTCCAAGGTTTGGTCAGTTTCCAAGCTCAGCTCTCAGCAATGTGTGCCCCTGGGACAGGAGCCATCACCAAGGGCTAATCACCCAATCAGAGATGGACTTGGAGTAAGGCAGCAATTTTCAGTAAAAACTGATTTCGTAATTTCTTTTACACACTTTTAGACTGAGACAGCAAATGTATAAAGATACTGTAGACATACTGTCTCACAATTCAGGCTCACTTTCGAGGTTCAAATAAATCAGCATTTGAAGTTACAACTATTAACGGATTATTAAGAAAACCTTTTGAGCATGAGGTTAAATGCTTCTCTTATTTTGAAGATCACTTGAAGCCTGCCAGAAATAAAGGATTATTTTGGGGATACCCGTGGTCCAGTAGGGACGTTTTGAAGAACCCAGAGAAAAGTTGTTCTTGTGGGTGAAGGGTCAAATCTGAGGTGTTTATGCACCTGCAAAAACACTGCTAGAAATGTGTGAAGGTCCAACATATACTGTCCTAAACAAAAGGTGCGATGTGGGTGGGGACCTACTGGAACTCTCCCATTTGTCAGCAGAAGCTGTGACAGTGGGGTGTCCTAAGCAGTTTTTGTGTGAGGATTGAACACAGACGAGTGTGATAAACAAAGCTTTCAAAAAAATCAGCAGATGAGACGAGAAAATCCTGGATGTGAGTGGAGGCAGCTGCAGTTTTGGACAGTAGAGGCTACCGTAGGGCTGGCCTGACCTGACAGGCATCCTTCCACATACGCTCTCACTGACGGGTCACCTTTGCCTCTGCATCGATTCTGCTTCCCAAGCCATGCACCCTCAGCGTCCTCTTCCCCAGGCCATGCCTGCGTCCTCGTTGGGGCAGCACCTCCGGGACATGACCATGGGTCTCGGACGGGGCAAGAACTTCCTGGGAGGGAATTTTTCCTATGGTTTCATCCAGTCGGTTAAGGAGTGTCTTTATTTCCTCCTCTGCTGCTGGTGTATAAAGGAGATCCTTGACTGAAGGACCGAAAGAAAGCACCAGCTGTAAACATTTGACGGACTGAATGCAATTTTAGTCTGCATTTGTTTGGAGCAAATGAAGAACATTCTTGGAAAAGCTATGGTAAGTGATCTCTTGTCCAGTTGTGTTTTTACCAAGCCAAATAATATACTTTTTTATATTTAGATCACTAAGCAAACGGTTTTTTCCTGATTGCAATATTTCAAATCCATCCGTTTCTGTTTTAGTGTCCATCTGAAGTCCATTTTGAGGTTTGAGGAATCATTCTTTAAAGCTACTTGACTGGGGTCAACATTTTAGAGCATCACTCTGAAGATCCTGGATTTTTTTGGACTGTGCTAACCTTCTTTTCCTTGATGTGCCAATAAACTAAATATTTCTACCTTCATATGTTGTTTCTTTCTTTTTATTTATTATTTGATAGTTAAAATATGCTGGATGAATGCCTGGCACTTTATGTGGAACAACTAAGTCCAGGTTTGTCTGTCAAAAGCATTGTTGTGGTGAGAAGTCTAATATTTCATTAAAAAAAAATCAGTACAACCCTGTACAAGTAAGAGATAAATTAAGATTTATCTGGATTTGTCCAGATTAAATATTGACTTGAAATATTTACCACTCAAAATGGGAAT